TTTAAATGGAATATTATTTTAGTTATCGTCCTCGTAGAATATTACTATTTTAAAATAAGAAACAATGGAATAATTAAAAAGTAATGTTCAATTTTAAAATGACCCCATGGCCACGTAACAATGGGTGAATCGCTGGAGATGTATCGTTTATCATCATCATTGCTTAATGTGATTTTGTTTACATTAATAGAATATAATTGATGATTTGTTGATCGTATGCTATTAAAATTTCCGATTTTAATACTATCATTAAAAAGCGCATCTACAAAATCATTAAATGTCAATGTTCTAGAGGCTGTTCTACCAACACCCTTCACTTTAGGGTTTATTTCTTTATCGTTAACCTTTAGTGTATACACTTTAGGCCTCAATGTAATAAACTCGGTTAAAATATTTCCTTTACATTCATCTTTAAATTTTCCAGGAACTTTTTTATTTACTAACGTGATTTTCCAAACATTATCGATGTTTAAGTCGGAAGTATCAAATAAATTTATATTATCGCGAATAGCATCATAAATAGAATAATTTTGAAACTTACATTTAAATTTATAAATTAAAGAATCGGTATCCATATACATAAGTTGACTATCGAAAGATTTAGATAGAATTTTTTTTACAAAATCATAATGAAAGGAATACATTAATGTTTTAGATAATTCTAAAACAGTAAATCCGACGTAAATAGGTTTATTGAAAACAATTTCGGTTTTTTCTAACTCTATAGATACGATATTTTCATTAAAAATCTTTAAGCATTTAAACTCTGGTCTTGCTATATATTTTCGCGTACTCTTCCAATTGTTGCAAATAATGATTTTTCTCTTTTTCCTATCATTTTCCATCGTCTTCCCAAAATGAGCGTTAATTATTAATTTAAAGAAGCTTTTATCAAATTCATTGGTGGCCTTCATCCGCAGTTCAGTATTTAAATCAATAAATTGTTTTAACCAAGGAGATTGTTTGAATTTTAAAATACGATGTATTTTATCAATTTTAATTCCTAAATTTACGACTAGTTTTAAATTGATATAATGAATTACATAAGAAGTTTTGTTGTGAAGAGTGCAAAGCAATTTATAAACCGAACTATTTGGAGGCTTGATATGTTCAGGTAGTAGGGGGAAATCGCTATAGAAATCATGTAATTCTTTAGGAACAATAAAATCAGCTTCTATTATATATCCATATTCGGAATCGTTGGCAACGCTTAACACATCAAAATTTGTATCATTCAACCAGCTAAATCCGTTAATGGGTATATACTGACTTTGCGCCCAACCATACAAATTAGTGGCATCCCAATACATTAAGTAAGTGTGAAAGGGATCTCCATCGAAACTAGCGGATGCGTAAGGGTTGTTCGCTTTAGCATAACGATAAATAGATTGAGTAATACCACCTCTAATTCCTTTTTCAATAAATAAAATCATCTCAATATCTTGAAGTAATTCCAATTTTACATGACTTAATTTTAGGGATGCAGCCCAACTTAATCCCGGAGCGGTATAAAATGCTCCAGCATCTAATCCGTAGTGAGTCATCGTTAAATTTCTAAAACTTTCAAACACATCCGATAAAAGTAAAACATCCGTTTTTAAATATAAATCTGAGTATTCACCTAAAGTTTTACACTCAAATGTATTCCAAATTTTAATAGCATGTGAATAGTTATTATCTGATATCTCTTCCTTTGCAAGCATCGAAAAAAAATGATGTTTTTCAGGTAAACATGTTTCATTAAATTTATCGAAGTTATCTATGTAATCATAGGGATATATACCTTTTCGTGTAACTAATTCGAATTGATCGAGATTTGTGAAATGAGATTTAGTATGAATTAATTGCTCGGATTTCAGATTGCTTACAAGTTCATTTAATGAAGCCGCCATAAATCTATAACTATCCAGAAAAATAAATTTAATTTGATTAATTTTAACCGCTAAAGAAATGTAAGTTTCATGATTAACCGGAATCACATTCACATCATATTTTTTAACAAGATCTAAAACAAATAAATGTATGTCGTAACCACTTAAATTATGAAAAAAATGGGTACGCTATAATCTATTTTAATTTGTAAGTTACAGTTCGTACATAGGGGTGATATAAAGTTTCCAGTGAAGTGGTCATGATGTCTAACTTTTGGATTTGCGATGGAAAATTCGCATAAACATACAGGACAATTATTTGTAGAATAGTATGTAGATTTTTCCTCTCGACTCATTGGGTTCATGATATTTGTAGTGCTAGCTTTTAAAATTGAAAAAAGTTCCGTACTAAGTAATTCTAATTGCTCTAGGAACCATATTTAAGGATTTTTCCCTCGAAACAATTTGAAACTGTTGTAGTTCTCATTAAATGAGCAAACGATGTTAAAAGCAACGCTGCATGCTTCATGTAGCTGATAATTTAGCGTATATGATTTTATGTCTATGTTTGAGCAACCCTCAATTTTTTTAAGTAGCGATTCAAAATCTGCGTAAATAACGAACGGCTTTCGAGATAACGCTTTAAAATTTTGAAATTCCAAAATATTTTTCTCGGGGAGAGTTATCTTAACAGCTTTATGATTCATACAATTTAAAGAGTGTTTTTCTAATCGATCGTTTGTATTAAAATGATTAAGGCAACGATAGCAAATATATAGTTTATGATCATGTTTCGTAATCGTTTTGTATAATAATGAAGATAAATCCTGTATTAAGCAATAATGATGTAAGTTGTCATTTTCTAAAATTAATAAATTACAATGAATTGTTTTAATCTGATTTGTATGATAATAATGTCCTTCAATTTCTAAATTATCATTAAACCCGAAAACATTAACAGATATTGAAGGATTTTGTTTCTCAAATTTATGAATATCCGCTAATTTAATCGGAAATTGAATTCCTACTAAGTTAAACATTTTTTCTATATTGAAATGAGAATAAGAAGCGATTTCGCGTGAATACATCTTATACATACCCGCTAATATACAATAAATGAAGCAAAGATTATCATAGTTATGAATGTTGAGGATTGCACCCTTTTTTCGATTAGATAATTTCGGGGGTAACGAAACATAGGTTCCTGCTTGGAGCGGTGAATACTTATTGATGCAGACCAATAAATAATTGATCGAGAGGAATGCCCATCCGGAATTGCGTTCAGCGAATCCCCCCATCTGTATTACAAATAAAAATAACTATGTAAATATGCTAAGTAATCGCAGGGAAATAAATGATAAACTTACTTGATTACATATATCCTCAATGAAATTCTTCAATATTGATGTAATAGAGGAAGACTGTAATACTACAGAGTTAGATGTATTAAAATATTTCGCATCTTCCTCTCCACTCGTAGGAATGATAAAATTTGCGGAAAGTTCTAAATTCAATTTTAAACCAATCATACCCCGTTTTAATGCATTTTGTACTCTCGACTTGATTAGTGAAATGCAATCTTCAAGAAATGCTTTCGGGTCTTTATGAACTAAATTGATGATGGCTCCCGTTCGTACACGCGTTTGAAATGCTGAAGCCACATCTTGCCATCTAATACGATCGCTACGTTTCTTATGAAGTCCTCTTCCATGTTTAATTCCTCTTGCAATTTCCAAAGAACGTTTGATTTTTAACTCTATTTGTTTTAGATCGCAAAGAATTGTCTGATATCTTCTTTTAACTCCAATTTCATCAGTGTTGGAGCGTAAAAATTTATTAATCAACCGAATATTTGTCTTGTTTAATTTATCTAAATATTTAAATTCCTCCTCGGTTTTCGAAGTGTTAAACAATAATCTTGTGGTTTTAACTGTTTCATTACTTAAATATTCCATCGTAGTAATAATAAACTAAATATCAAAACGTTTATAATATATGGCTATGTACTAGTATAGTGATTATAAAAACAGAAGATGCAATAATAGTATAATATAGAATAATAGAATAGAAGGGTTACTCCTCGCATAACACAAATTCGATATTAAGCATCGGATTAATCTTACCAACGTTTTTACGATCTTTTAATTTCAATCCCACTTCAGGATGTTTAGCTGAATTGACTATTTTAATAAACTCATCATCTACTTGATGAATGTATCTTTCAGGTAAAAAAACTATGTTTTCGCGCACCTCAGCCAACAAACAGGGAAATTTCGCAGATTCTAATTTCTTCAACGAAATTATGGGATAAATTAATCCAATCTCGAGATTGCTACAAGCGAGTTTAGGTTTGTCGCTAAAGCTATTCACAAGCTTATTCACTTTCAATAATTTTTGCACTAACATGGACATAGAGCTTCGTGAATCTGTCTCCGATTCTGAGCTACTAGCATTGATCTCGGAATGAGAAGAAGAAGTTGTTAATTCTTCTTCTTCCCGATTTTGCTCCTTATTTAATAATGCTTTGATGTGCTCGACACGATCTTTCTTGGTTTTCGAGTACTGTTTCGTTACTCTATTCTCCGACAACAGCGATGGGGATGTTGATGAACTTTTTTTTTGTTTTTGTATTTTAGGCATTTTTATGTTTTTTCGCTATACACGCACGCACAGAATAGTAACAATAGTTGCTCTATCGAGCAAATGATGATTTTCAGGAAAGCAGATCACCTATTTATAGTTGAAAACAAATCTATTATAACCGCAATTACAAAATTGTTTTTCTTGACAACCGCTTTTCTCCTTTGAAATTCACCGTCAGTGAAGTTGTTTTTCTCCTTTGAAATTCGCCGCCAGTAAAGCTAATTATATTATAATTTAATAAAATGCGATTTATTAATTTTTCGTTATACCGCAGCTCGAATGATAGCGGTTATCAAGGATTACGTAAACTCACCCGATTCCATAAAAATAGGAAATTCAGAAAAAAACGTTACACCACATACCTAGAGATAAAACAACAAATTTTCCTCTTACGTAATTATTCGAGGTTTGTAAAGATTTGATAAATTCACGAAACACCACAAAATAGGAAGTATCTATCGTTTAGAAAAAAACGTTGCACCGCATACCTAACCAATACCTCAAAAATTTTCCTCTTTCTCGTGTAAAACATAGATAAAGAACATTATAAATTGACTTGATTTTTCCTCTCTCCTCATACTTCATTGTGAAAGTTTATTGCGAACGTAAAAAATGTCCGAGTGTAACGAATTTGTGTGCATCGTCAAAGAACAGCCTGATGGCACAACGAGCATCAGAAAATTTAAATTTGAATGTGAGATGAAAGATGGTGAGTTCATTTTTATCATTATTTATTTATTTATTTATAAATTATAATATTTTTGTAAATTAGGCCCTCAGAAGAGTGAAGCGGAAGAGAGTAAAAAAGAAATCATCAGCAAGATGGAGGTGTATGATTGTGAGTTCTTGTTTTTCTTTTGCTTCTCAATATCATTATCTATTTTATTTTATTACCATTATTTTTGTTGCTTTTTTCATAGCCGAATGGGATGATGATGCCACAATAATACAGACAAGCAATAGATCCTTCGTAAGCATACCAAACCCCTCATCTTCACGATGTATTTCAAACAGAGGAAAATCGCCTTTTGAGCTACAAGAAATAGGAGAGATGGATGACAATTAGGATGATTGTGAGTCCTCATTTTTCCTTTGCTTTACAATATTATTATTTTATTTTTATTATTGCATTCTCGAACGATTTTTTTGATCGCTAAAGCTCGCAAAAAACTTTCGTTCTCGAATGTAAAAGTGTCATCTCGCTATCTTGTATTAAAAATAACTATTATTTTATTATTATTATTATTATTTTCTTCATAGCGGAATGGGGAGGATATGCTATCCCCAGGTCCCCATCCCCTTCTCCCCCATCAATAAGAGCACTGAGTGAGATAAGTGGTGAGGGAGTTGGTGATGAGGATGAGGGATACATAACGTTTACAACGCCAAAATCACGCTTTATACCGACCGAATTAGAACGGGCCCCTGAAAGGATGAAATTGAGACGACCTTTCCCGGAATCTAGGTACTGTCAAAGTCGAAGGATTAATGAAAACCTTGAAAATATTATAAAAATTCTTTCTAAAATTGTAGAGGAATTAAAAAAATAGAGGAAAAATAAAAAAAATTGAGTATATAAAATTTTTGTTATTTTTACAAACAATTTCCTACATTTTCTAAATACTTTGAAAAGGAATAACTTAATTGTTAGCTAATTTTAAAAATTTAGTAATTAATTTAACATTTTCAATTACACAATTACTTGTAGATTTATAATGATATCTACAAGCATTTAAACTAATTGAGAGTAGAGGACAATACAAATTATCTTGTAGATTAATGATAATCGGTTTTTCTGAAGGTAGTAGATTTTTTAGTAGCGTTTCCTTTTGAGAACCTTTCACAAACACCACCTCCACCCCACATGTATGTTCGAGTAGAATTTCTTTTAGTCGTTTGTAGGGTACATCACCACTCTCGTAGTTTAAATGATGTAAATTATTTTCCAACCAAACAACCTGCTTACGTTCTTGTTTATTCAGTCTTCCTTTACCGACGTCGGGTTGAAAAAGGAAATGCGAAATCGACTCACCATCGCTGATGGCTAGTACTTTTACTCGAAATCCTGAAGAGAGCGTAAAGCCTTGCATATCGATAACTTTAATCGGATTTCGTGATGCCATAATTTTTTAAACGATGATTTAATATAGGAGATAAAATCACTTCTATTTCTTTAATACGTTTCAGAAATCTTAGACGATCTCTACCGACTTGTTCCCAATTAGGAGACTCGATTTCTATTAATTCAATTTCATGAATGATTATAGTTGACGAAAACACAATCGATCTTCTTCTCTCCTCCTCCACCTCCCCCTCTTTCCTATAC